TTTTCAAAGAATCAAGGAGCACACAAAGCATATCGAAGGCATACACGATCTGGAGGGTTGTCTTGTCGTGTGGTGAACGGCTGAGTATTATAACTTGGGGTTAGCATTGGGAAACCATTATTTTTCAGGGAAAGTTCACTCAAATTCCGAGCATTTATATAAAGATTTAATTGATTTAAAATATATAAAATTTCAACGACGGAAACCCTGAAGAAGTGAGGTAACTATGCAACGCGATGTCCAATGCAACGAATCATGAAAATAGCACCACCACAAAAATTAACACGTGCAAATAAAATTCAACATGAAGTAAGAAAGGAAAATATTCTAAGAATGTGTTTTGTAAAAATGTTGGTTGTTCAGAGTAACAACAACATAAACCAACCCTGAAAAGCGTATTCCCGTTGACTGGAGATTCGGCTGGTGAGTACAGAGGCGGCTGATTAGTGAATTCAGTAGCAAAATTTTGCACATCAGCTGTAAACTATACTACGATACTTTGACGGAATTAATCCTACTATCAAAAGAAGTTTGAAGCTTTTATCTACGTCACGGTGGCCGGAAAATGGTGGTGTATGGTCGACCGCACACCAAGATCCGGTCGCCTTAAAATGGAGGTCTTTGAGGGCGTGAAGAGCTTTTTCAAAACTGTTTTGGGGCGAAAATGGGATTCATCTTCGCTTCGTGGTCCCCTGATGCCAAAAAAGACTCGAAAATAGCTAGGAGGGAGTAATTTTACAGCGTTGCAGTGATGTATGGGGCTTCTAGCGAGAAGTACCCGTTCCTGGTAATGAATATCATACCTGCTATTGGCGAAGCACAATTTGGAGGAAATATGGAAGCTCTGACCTGGTATGCAAAAACTTTCTCACCACGAGAATCAAACCTTGGGCTATTTCTGCACCACGTTTTGCCCTTCACGGGGGACGGGCAACGAAAATGGACCTCGGTTTTTAGTGCACTCATGAGTTTCGATGAGCTGCAGAAAACCTTTTAGGAGAGCGCTAAACCCTGAAGACCTCCCTTGAGACACTGCGAATGCAATGAACTGTATTTAAGAAGTTGTTTTTATTCATACCTCATGAGTAAGGTTAGGCACGATAAAAGGGGTGAGTTGGCGTTTGGCGACTTTGTCCCAATCGAGATCCCGAAGAAATCGATGACTAAAAACAGCATTAAAATATTGATACAAGCATAGAAAGTACAAAAAATGAAGTACTTCTTGATCTCTTCCACACCATTGTATCCTAGGCGCTTCTCCAGCCTCTTCTCAAGTAAAGCCGCAATGAAATCGCGTGCATCCGGATCCATGTTCTTTGGGAACGGAACTTTTTTCGTTATTATTCTTCTGAAAAGCAAACAAATATATTAGGCAAAGGTTGCGTGAAGGACGTGGGATTTGTACTTGGCAATTTCCTTGCTGGAGTTGGCAGCACCGTCAACTGTGAACGGACTGCACCCGGTCAGAAGTTCGAAACAAATTACACCCATTGACCACCAGTCCACGACATCCGAATATCCTCCTTCCGGTCGATTAATCACTTCTGGCGACCTGGAAATTTAGAAAATCAGTGAAGCCTTGTATTTATACTTGTAGTTCTTTCTCAGATTCACTAATGAAGCGTAGGCAAGATTTGATCTGAGATTCGATCCCCCCAACCATGGGCCGTATTCAATCCTTCCCCCAGGGGGATATATCCCCCTCCTCTGATTCAATCCTCTCCCAGCTTTGGGGGACAAAAAGGGTTGCGTCATAGGACCTAGCATACCTCTGTGTTTCTACCTGCCAGACAGTTAGAGCAGCGCGACCCCTCAGGAAAGAGTACTTCAACAGTAGGAGGGTAGCCACGCTGCTCTAAGGTGAGGGAGCGCAGACGAGAGATGGATTTGAGGCGGCTTAAAGGACCGGGTTCAAGTAGTCCGTCAACCAACTGTCTGGTAGATAGCAACATAGAGGTATGGCGGTCCTATGACGCAACCCTTATTTGTCTCCCCCGAAGCTGGGAGGATTGGATTAGAGGAGGGTGGCGCATGAATGCGGCCCCATATACGAATAAATTGCGGGCATCTTACTGGATAACTGAATGCGCACGCGTATCATACATGGTGTAAAGTATGTACAGAGAATGACGACGTCAAACGAAGCAAAACAAAAACATATGGATCGTATAACAAGTACTATATTTTAATACTTATACTAACTTGAACCCCTAAGCACCATGCTAACAACTACTTTCAAAACTGCATAGCTGTGTAATTTGCCCCCCCCCTACTCGACAATGGAAGCCAACAAACATTCAGAAGCTCGATGGGTCGGGAAATAGTTTTGGAAAAGTAATCGATGTAAATACAAGAAAAAATCGATAGTAAACTAAAAAGGAAAAATCGCAAGAATTTAACACCAAAAGTTAGAACAAATGAACAAAGAGCTTACATGTATTCAATAGTTCCGCAGTATGAATTAGCCCGTTCTAGTTCCTCCGGTCAGTAGCTTTACTGAAGCCGAAATTAAAATCAGTCAACTTCACGTGGCCATGTTCGTCCAGTAAAATATTTTCCAGCTTCAGGTCACGATATATGACTTTACGCTAAAATAGATTAGATTTGAGTGAGAGCTCCAAGTTGAGGCAGTCAGTGTAAGACAGGTCGACAGCGCAAATTTTACTGACTTCCTCAACTTATTCTTAAGTATAACACTGACAGTGGCTCTTTAATAAACGCAAAGAAATCGTGGGAATAATGTGCAGTATAAATTGATATAACAAGAAAGCGAGTACCTGATGGAAGAATTATCAATAGCAAACAATCAGTTCTGCCAATTTGATTAAACTTGGACGCTGTTACGATCAAAAATGCAACGGCTACAGGAGATGTTGTAATAGCTCTCCGCCACGTACATATTCTAAAAATGATTTATAGAAGCGAAATAGAACTCGAAATTCAGTATTGCACCGTAGCAATGAACATGAAACACAACATTTCCGCACTCTGCTCCTGGATGTCTATAACGCTTATGACATTCAAATTACCGAGCGGGGCCAAGTGCAGAATAAAAAACCAAATAGAAAACTAGCTACACCAGCCTTTAAAGGAAGGCAGTTCCAAGTGGGAAAGTTTCATAAGGTATAAGGATGTGCATTGCTGTGGCATGAAGGGATCGAGCAAAAGTGAGCAACATATGTTTGTCAACCATTGAGCGAGGAAGGGTAAGTTATAGAAGCATTGGCAACTACAAAGCAGCACAATCAGACCAATACATCACCACTCATGACATAACTTTGCCCTGCTCTCCACACTCGCCGTTGATGTGGTAAGTTTGACAAAGATGGTGTTATAAAGTCGATCGAAATTAATGGTGTTGTCACTAACCTTTACTTTCCTAGATTGTCATTCCAGAGACAATGGAATCATGGTTCAACATTTCAGAGACTTTATTATTAATATTAAATGTTCGCGGATAGCTTCCATTCAAAGGGCTATTTTCTTTCCAAAACAAAACTTCATTGAATTACTGATGTGGAATCGAACGCTAGTACCTTGTTGTGAAAAGACAGAAGAACTTTTCAATACTCTTCCCCGAAGCTACCATTTACCAAACCACTTACCGATGCTACCACCTGCCACGCCACATTTAGAAGGCCTTTTTAACGACAACTGTAGACGTGGAAATCCTCAACCCTCTCACCATATCAGCAATATGAGCGGCAGCAGCGCGTTGTTAGCATCCCCACTATTTGACATTCTTATAGACCACTTCAATCATAAATCCTCATTTGTAATTAGGCATCACTGGTGGAACATGGATTGGGTTTCAGACAGTAATTCGAATAAATACAGTCAAACACATCAAGATATTAAAAGTAACAACAGCGGTAAAAGAAGAGAAAGTAAGAGAGAAAGAAAAGATAAAAAATCGGTTGAAACACCAATGAGTAAATCACAAACTAACCCATAACTATATGCAATTTGGTATCCGTTTGAAATGCATAGTAAAGATTGACAAGAAACGGCACGCCTCGTAACCTCTCCAATACTTGACGCTCAGCCAAAGTGTGTTCAAGAGTCTTGGGCTTTGATAAGACCTGAAATAACTTCGAATAAATCAGTTACAGTAAAACAATTCAAATAAACTTCTTGAATAAAAGCAAACAATGTGACAAAAAAGGAAAAGTAAGTCTGAAGATATTTCAAAAAAGCGTACCCTAATTTTTCTGAGCACCTTCATTGCATAGATCTGTCCATGGTCTTTGCCTCCTATTTTACGAACAAGAAAAACTTTCCCGTATGCTGAAATAATGACATTAGACTACTGGTCGAATCTCAGAGGTTATCTCGATTCAAGATAAAAGGTATTACAAAGAACAACTACCACACCTAACTACGGTTACAGGAGACCTCCCAAAGTCAATTGTTTGGGGAACAAGTTTTCGCGATTACCACCTTCTTGAAGAGATTATTAAAGGCATGCATTGAAAGATGATGTTTTGAGTAAGCTCTCTGTCCACTACCCACTCTCGCACTTGCTTGCTCAAGACCAGACTAGCCCCAGTTCTCAATTTAGTCACATCAAGCTCTGAAACGTGGACCGTGGTCATCTATGTTATTCTTTCGATAGCAACTATACCAAGTTATGCTGAAATGTGCGACTTCTTCCTTTCAAAGATCACCACTATCATTACAAATGCGGCGGCGACCCTGATCACTGATCGTTTAACGCGTCGGAAGCGGATGCTAATGCAGGGAAAACGTAGCGTGGAGGGGAATTAAGGGCTTCAGCAAGGCATCAAAGTTTGACTATCGAAAACCAAATGCAATTGCTAGAATGCTCTTCTCCCTCATGTGCCCTTTTGTTCAATTACTCAGATTAACCAGGCTCACGATTCTCAGCTTCATTACACACGAGCCCGCACGATGGTGCAGTGATCGAGACGCGTTCATCCTTGCTTTATTGTCTTATTTTTGCAGATTTTTAATCGACAGAGCCCTCAGCATCCAGTTAGCCAGATCCCACTAGTCAGATGCCGGGCGCGTAACACAGTAACGCGTCTCAAACACATTGCACATCGATCGGCTCATAGGCGAGAGCGAGCGAAAATGTGTTGGAAAACATCAACAATAACGTGCAAGAGTAACGGCATGACTGCAGAAGATGGGTAAAGTGTCGCAAAAGAGCTGGAATTGTTAGGACGTTTTGAATGTGGAAATTAAAAGTCATATGTTACTCAAGTTTGTTCAAGAGAAATCCTCGCATGCCAATTCATGGAACAAGGAGGTGCAAAACTTGAGCATGTCCGTCTTTTCGATCAAAAAAAGAGAAAGGCTCAAGAAGAGATGAACGCCGCCGCAAAAAAAGAAAAAAGCCGAAGCTGAGCCTCTAATAAAAGAACAATAATCGAAAGCCTGTAAGGGTAAAAGGACTTACCACCCTTGCCAAGTACCCGCAACAAGGCGAAACATTTCCATGGACATGTTCTCCTCACTCGGCAACTGAGTAGTCATTTTCCGTTGCGTGTTAGGTCAAGAACCCGTATCGCGGCCAGAACGCCTAAAAAATTATGATTGAGTTCAGTATTCTGATCATGTTCGACACGACCACGCACGGATTATACGGAACATAAATGGCAAAGTGAGCTCAATTATAAGAGAAACTATAGCAGACATGGTCGAAGATACTGCAATGAACCAGACGGCATTTCTTACGCGTCTGCCCTTTAGCTATGCCTGCTCTCTGCGAGGGCTAACACGTGATTTCAAAAAACACAGGCTATTAAAAGCGAGAAATTTTTAAATTGAATTTTTTCACACTTCAACCATGCTAGAAATTGCTTGCGTATCAAGTTAACCAAAATATTGAGAATGTTTTCAATCTGTAAAACACTGATTAGCTTCAGCCAAACGTCCACAGATTTTTTTCCACGTTGCGCTGGGAAATCCATCACTCACGTGCTGATTTCACACCGATCGTCATGCTTTGGAGAACAAACACACCACGGACATAGCACAGCGATGACTTCAAATAGGAAAAATGACAACATGAAAAAAATAATGGATTGAGACCCATTGAGGTATGGCAAACAGTGCACCAAATAAGTGTGCCACGTCTTTTTTAGGCGACTGCTTAATCAAACTAGATCGCTCACGTACGGGAACGGGGCCAAACTTAGTTTCTAATAGTTGAGAAGCTCAAAAATCATGAATAATAGAAAAAATCCTATAAAATAAAATCAGCCAGTCATACACGATATTTCATTCGCTGCAGTCGTAACAGTCGTTGACTAGTTCCATATGCCAACCTAGCCATGTGCGATGGCGCCGGAACACGCCGAAAAAAAGCTCTAGAGGCTTGATGATTAGGCAGCAGAAAATAGACGCACTCTCGCACAGCTGCTGATATCTCAGGGGTTCCGTCAGCAGATTAATCAACGGCAACATAAAGAAAGGATAGCTACAACTCAGAACATTACAAAAGCGATTGAGGTTTTCACACAACA